CACTCAAGGGAGCCCCACCTCCTTGAGGGAAGAGTATCTACATGCACGGTATGGAATTTGGCAAGATCTGTCCCTCTTCCCTCATGTAATTTTTCATTCAATTATTTGTTCATATCAGTGTACTGATGCATATTTATGTTATACTTGTTATAATTCTATATTACATTAATTTTGTTGCTCGTATGGTTCTGGCTTTGGACATTGGTTTGGACATACTCTTGCTGTTTGGCTCCTGTGCCCTTTTGACATGCCCCGCTTTTTAAAGGAGACTTTTGAAAATCAAATGTTATCCTCTGCAATTAATTTTTGTCATATTACGGACAACAGTGTGATGATTGCTGGGGGAAGGGAGATATAGGGGACTAAATGGTAATGGAAAAAATACAATAAAAATTAAATTTAAAAATTTTGTTTTATTAATTATTGTTTAATTCCAGCGAAGTATGTCTATGTATGCCTCTGTGTGTGTGTTTTAAACACTGTATGTATGGCCTTGTTAGGTGCTAGGCAAATGTTAAATTCATTTTTCTTTGAAATATTTTAATTTATTTTTGGAGAAGGGGAAGGGAGGGAGAAAGAAAGGTAGAGAAACATGGATTGGCTGCCTCTCACAGGCGCCCCAAACAAGGACCAGGCCCACAACCCAGGCACGTGCCTTGAATGGGAATTGAACCCAAAACCTTTTGCTTTGCAGGATGATGCCCAACGAACTGAGCCACACCAATCAGGGCTAAAGTAATTCTTAATGAAAGTACACAAAGCAAGTCCTAAGGCAATTCTTATGTGTAGATCCATGTATCAGGCCTCCATTAAAAACAGAGAATCTCTTTGATGTATAATTGCTTGTACTGTGCAATAAATGCTCATAAAATAAAAATTAATTGACAATAATGTGGGACAGAATGCTTCCCAGAAAAAAACCTGAATGATCTGTGGTCCAAGTTATAGTTTTGTCTTTCCTTAAATAAATAAGCTAATAATAAATTTATCAAAGTTTTACTTTTAATTGCATTACCTATTTACAGAAATTGGCAAAACACTGGAATGTTTTGAGATGAATTATGAGACTAACCTGTACTCACTCGAGAGAAATTTTAATGATGAAAGAAAATATTGCCCTTGATCCTGAGTGTCCTTTAAAAGAAGGCAACTGTGCAACCGTAATTTATTGAATCAATAGTTCTTTAATGCCAAAGCATATTTAACCTAGTATCATAAAATGATGTTGGCACATCTGGAAATACTATTTCTTACTTATGCAATGACTTTTTGAGAAACATTTTCAATGTTACTAGATAGAAAAATAGAGAACTAACTTTACTTATTAAGCACATATACTCATTTATATCAAAATCCCATTTTAAAAATTGCTCAGGTGATTGTAGTTAGACTGAACACTGGCCCCCAAAGAGATCAGGTCCTAAGTTCTGAAACCTGAAAATATCACTTTATTGGGAAAAGGGTCTTTGCAGATATGATTAAGTTAAGGATTTGAGATAAAGACGTTATCCTGTACTATCTGGGTGGGCCCTAAATACAATCACAGGTGTCTACATAGGAGAAAAGTAGAGGATGATCTGACACACACAGAAGAGAAGGCAGGTCTCAAGATTGGAGGCATGAGGGAGGCCACAAACTAGGAATGGCCACAGCCACCAGAGGTGGAAGAGGCAAGGATGGGTCCTTCTCTAGAGCCTCCAGAGGGAGTGTGGCCCTCCCACACCTTGATTTTGGCCCAGTGATACTGACTTCAGACTTCTGGGCTCCAGATTGCGATAGAATCAATTTCTGTTGTTTTTAAGCCACTAAGTTTGTTGTTATTTGCTACAGCAGCAAGAGTAAATGAATATAATGTTTTAGCAATGACTTCCTTTACCTGGCACTAGACATGAAGAAATGCTACACAGGACTTAGAGGTTTACTCAAAAGATAAAACACAGTATATCCTTATTTACAAAATGATTCACAATAGCCTTGAAAATACCAAATCCTCCCACTGCATTTAAAATAGGCAATTTACAAAAACAGGTATTTTACATATGTAAGAACGTTTCTGTAATGTAAGCCCATCAATACGCTAAGGACTGCTAACTTCAAATCTCTCGCCCAAATGACTCCCCTTAATCTGACAAGTGTATATCCACTGACCTTGTCAACATTGTCACTTGGATATCCAACAAGCACCTCGAACTTAACATATCCCAAACTGGGCTGCTGCCCTCTTCCCCGACTTGCTTGTGCTAATCTGCTCCATTTTGGTAAATGACAACTCTGTCTTTTCAGACAGCCAGGTCAAAAATCTTGATGGCATGTTTAACCCCTCTCCCCTCACGTCCCGCAGCAATCTTGGCTCTATCTTCAGATTATATTAAGGATCTAGCCACTTAATCACTCCTACGGCCTCCACCCTAGTCCAAGCCATCCTTGTTTTCCTCTTGGATTACTGAACTAAGCTTCCAGCTAGTCTCCAGCTTCTGCCTGGCTGAGTCACCACACAGCAGCCAGAGCAATTCTTTTACTAGGTGAGTCAGCTCATGCCATTCCTTTGCCCCAAACCTGCACTGGCTTCCCCTCTTACTCAGGTTAAAAAAAATATTCCTTATAATGGCCAAATTGCCCTGGACCCTATATCCTACAACTCGAACCTCCACTCATTCTAGTCTTTAAACAGGCCAGGCATGATCTGACGGCTCTTAACCCAGGGTTCTTGCTCCTGCCTCTCTCTGCCTGGAATCTTCATTCCCCCTCCCCCGCCCACTCTCTGCAAGACCCTCTTACTTACTTGAGGTGTTGGCTCAGTAGTGTTGCCTTCCTTGACCACCTCCCAAACACTATCACCCTCTGGGACACATTTACGTATGTATCTGTCTTCCCCCCTCATTAGAACGGTCACATCACAAGGGCAGGAGCTTTGAGTCAGCTATGTGCACCGCCTGTAAGCTGAACATGCCAGAAATGCCAAATCTGATAAAAAATATACCAAAAGTAGTGATAGGCACATTGTTTTCAATAATTAGTATATAATAATTAGTATACATTACCAATCTTCTTTCTGAATAAATTTTTCCAATCAGTATTTCATCCTACCTTTTACATTCTTTATTCTTCCACTGTCAATTTTTCTCTTCTAAAACCAAATTCTTTCTAACAAAGTCACAAATTTAATCTCAGACTCACCCAAATAAAGGATTTATAAAGAGTCTTTCTGTACTTTGATGCTCTTATATATTTTCTCTACCCATTGGTCCAACTTTTACTTAGTTCCTTCTTTATTTACTTCACTTTTAATTTTTTGTTTCCTTTGCAGGCTATCTCTTAGATTTCAATTTGTTTTCATTTTTTGTTACTTCCAAGCTTAGGGAGGAAGGGCTTCAGTTTGGTGTGGGAGGCAACTAAAGTTTTCTCTACCCATTTGCTTCTTTCTTAGACCCACTCACACTCTTGCTTTTGAGATCTGAACACCATAACTCTGTTTATTGAAACTTTGTTACCTTTTGTCTTTTCAAATTTTTCTCACAAAATGTACACCTCTTAATCCTTTTGTCTATTCTAATCAAACCAACTGCACACCAAACACAGAGCCAGAAAAGATCTTAGCCTACTGCATCTCAACCATACTGGCTCCTAGAGTGTGTTTTGAAAAATCTGCAAGGGAATTTTGGGTTGTCACAATCATTGAAGGAAGAGGGTTATAGAGGGATGTAATTGGGATGCTAGATATCTGCAACGCAACAAACCTACACAATAAAAATATTGTCCTACGTTTCATCAGAATTTTCAATGTCTTTCCAGACACCTACTTATGTGTCTAAAGCCTAGACTCTATCTCCATTTTACTTACGCCAAGCTATTTTTTTTTTTTGAAGTTTCTAGAGGGACTAAAATTTCTAAGAATTCTTCTGTGTGAAAAACAATGGAAGATTATACTTTGATATAGTCAGAACTTTACCAAGAAGTTCTACAGTATTTTGGAAAAATTATGCCACTGACAGAAAGCCCCAGTGATGCTTGAGGAACCAACAGAAAACACCAATTGCAACTGTAGCTTTTGTATTTATAGTTATTGTTTATGCACACAGGCAACTGACACTTTGTATTTTCTACTATACACGTTTCAGCTTTTATATTTTGAATTATATATTATTTGGCAAATTATATTTTATATATTCTTTTACATTAAAACTTGATTTTTTTTAATTGTGTGTAGATGGGTTACATTATCCATGGTTTTCATTACAAAACAATGATTTTAAAAGGCTATTCAGCATACATTAAAGGGAAGCTGGTGCTGATTACACTGACGTAACAGATAGACCACTCCAAGATTTCCCGTTTGCTTCCCAGTCTACTGGTGACACTTTGACCACACCATAAAGGCCCTCATTTTCATTTTCAAGGATCCTAAGCTTTTTCATAGGGACCCTAATGGTGCGGATGATAATAAATAAAACTTGTATGGTCCTTAAGAATTAAAATGAGTCTCGCATACGTGATATCGTTTGATATTCACAAGGGTCCTAGAGAGAAAGCAAAAACGGCTAACGATTTTGTAGTGTATTACAGTAAAAACGAAAACATACCAAAAATACTTTACTTTAGCCGCTGCCATATCTTCTTTTATGAGCTTTCAGAAATCCCACATATTAAGCCACCAAGATTCTCAACCAGATGAGACCTCAGAACTTTTTTCTTTAGGATTTATTTCAGCCTTTTCCTATAGAGATGAGAAAACCCAGAGTTGAGAAAAGTTAAGCGACTTGATCACGGCTCTGAAATATCATAACATTTCAAAACAGGGGTGTAAGAATACATGGGACTGCCCATTCTATCACACTGGGTTTTCTCACCGCAAATTTTCGATGAGGAAACTGTCACCCAAGGCAAAACCGGACGTGGGCTGCAGAGCGAGCTCCGCCCTCAGGACTGTCCGCGGCACTGCCTGATTGACGGCCGGCTCAGGGGGCCTCGCGGGGTCCTTTGCGCGGGCTGCCGACGCACTGCCTGAGCGGGTGGGCAAGCGGCTTCCGGTAAGGGTAACGAGAGGTGGCCGAGGCAGGGGGACATCAAGGGACGTTCAGGCAGGGACCATGGCGGACGGCGGCTCGGAGCGGGCTGATGGGCGCATCGTCAAGATGGAGGTGGACTACAGCGCCACGGTGGATCAGCGTCTGCCCGAGTGTGAGAAACTAGCCAAGGTGAGGGGAGGCTGGTTGTCTGTTGGCGGGCGCCACGGGCTGAGTCACGGCGCGGAGCCTGCTTAGGCCTCAGGGGGCCTGAGGACTGGACCGCGCATCCCCAGCCTCGGTTGGGCCTGCCTGAGTAGGACACCCCAGGTCGGCCTGATCAGGGAGGCGCCAGGCGGGGTACGATGATGCATACAGCTTTCCAGACCCTCCTCAAGACAGATGGTCACTTCCTCCCCATAGGAGTTGGGGCCGGATAGTATTTTTTTGCGTTTCCTTGGATACTGTTTAAAGTTTACTTTAGTAGTTTCCCAGGGGTTAAGGCCGCTTCAGCATCTAGGCTAGATCAGGGAGTTTCGTTCCACTGCTCTTGCTTAATCGGTTTATGTCAAGTTCGTGGATCGCGGCGATGTGCCTGGCCTTTGGCCAGGAAAGGGGGCAGGAAAGTGGTAGTACGGGGTGATTAACATAGGATTTCTGTCCGGAAGGAGTTCGTATACGTAACGAATTAGACAAGTCATGCATGGAGGTGGATGCCCTACAAGAATGAATAAAGTGTTATTGTAATACAGAGAAGGAAGCTCTTCATTCTTACTGGTGAGTTAAGGGAAGGATTTACAGGGAAGCGCATGTTCGTGTTGGGCCTTTAAGAATGAGTAAGAGTGAGTTGGGAAGGAGCCATTCCTTTAGCGGGAACTACATAAGTAAAGACAAACAAGCACTAAAGTGCAGAACAACCTAGTTAGAGGAGGACTTGAACAGTAGATTAGCTCCATTGCTTATCTCCTATAGGATAGAAATTTAACTTGATCCAAACATTGATCCAAAATTGCTACGTGTCAGGCAATTTTGTGTATCATTTTACATATAAAGAAACCAAGGCCCAGAGTTACCTCTCCAACGTTACAGTTATTAATAGGTAGAACCAGGGAATCAAAACTTGGTTTACCTGACTAGGGAGGGTATGGGTGGTTGTTGAATCAGCTTCATCGTAGGCTGTTGCTAAGGCCTCATTATGCTTAGGCCTCATAAATTCCTTGATCAGTCTCCAGCTACAGACATTTATTGCTGTTCACCTGGGATGCATACGCTAACAGGGTTGTTTCTGTCCCTAAAGAGCTACATAAGTACATTAAAGTGTAACAGATTCAGGGGCAGAAGGAGTAACAAGTAATACTTCACATGTAGTCTTAGATAGAAACCTTTTGAATGCCTCCCCCCTGCCAAAAAAAAAAAAAAAAAAAGAATTTAATGGGGCTTTACAAAAAACAAGGATAGGGAAAGATGATGGAGTTGACACCCTTGTATTTCTTATGCTCAGTACACTTGATGGAGGGGAGCCATAAACTCATCTCTGAGATTTCTAGCTGAGAGCGTAAAGAAACATCATCAGTTACTTAAGGGTTGGAAAATTCAAACACCTACAGTGCCAGAGAGATAACAACTGACATTGATTGAGTAGTTTCTGCAGGGCCAGGCACTCTTCTAAGTGCTTACGTGCATTAACTTATTTGCTCTTCACCTTAGCCCTGTGTGATAGGCATTACTATTCTTGTTTTACAGACAGCAGGCTAAGAGGAGTTAAGTCACGTGCTCCCTGGTCATACAGCTACTAAAGGGATGGGGCCAGGATGCAAACCCAGGCAGGCAGAATTTAGACCCTGTGCTCTCACCACGCTGTCTTGCCTAGTGAACCTCCTGGAATTTCTTAAACACCTGCCCAGGGAAAAGGGCAATAACTCTTCACCTCCAGTTACTCTTAGCCATTTGGGGATGAAGGCCAAGCCTTGCTAACTCTTCTATTTTGAGGGAGACAATCAGGAATATGGATTTTTATATGAAATGCATCAATATTTAGAAACTGGACACTAATCTGTTTTAAAACACTATCTGAGTTAATACCATGTAGATCAAATAAAACATACTTACAGGCCAGAGTCAGCCCCTGAACCACCACTTTGGAATTGATAGAGTTACATTGTCCGTAAGGAAGAAACCAGTTGCTTTAAAGAAGTACAGCTATCCTAGAACTGAGACCCGGGAGGGGGAAAAAAAACCTTCCCTTTACCCACTTATTTTGATAGTCTACTGTGTGCAAGACCTAGTCAGTGCTAGATATTGTGGGAGGTATAAAGATTATTAGTCAGAGCTCTTGCCCTCAAGTAGGTTATAGGCCAATAAGAAAAAAAAATATTTCACTGCTGATGTTCTAATGATTACATGAATAGATAGCATTTATTCAGGATGTTGTTATGTTTAAGACAGTTCAAAGATTTGCAGCTCAAATGCCAAGTGCCTTTTTAGTTGTCAAATGGAATGGAAATGTTTATGCAGAATGGCAGGGCCAGTTAAACTAAATAAAATGAAAGGCATTTGGATTCTGATTTGTTTTTTAAGCCAGCATACCAGTAGGGCAAAACAAGGTGTAGGTGTGAATTGCTTTTGTGGAGGTGGGGGGGTGGGCTTAGAGGTGGAAGGGTAGAAGTTTTTTATTTATACAGATCCACAGTTTTAAACCTCTGGATTAGATGGCTGTCTTATCGTCTCAGTTAACTTTTTAAAAATTATGTCTCTGACTTGCTATATATTCGTTTTATTTTATAACCATTCTGTGAAACATAAGAAAATATTTATGTAGCACTGCATGTCTACATTGGAATATATGGGATATGTTAGCATATATTGTTTTATTTTTTATTTTGAACCCAGCAATAAAACTGAAGAAAATTTTATGTTCATTTTACTTGTGAGAAAACTAAGGTTCAGGAAGCTTAAGTGGTTTACCCAGGGACTGCAGCAGAGCCAGGTCAAGCTCAGGTCTCCTGGGAGCATGTAGAGTGTCCTTTTTGCTATATACCATGACTTCTTTAAGGGACTATCACTTCTATGCTTACTTTCCTTAAACCTTTTATTTTTAATGTAAAAGACATTTGAAGATGAAAATTATGTGTATAGAGACTTTAATAAGGATATATCAGGTAAAAACACACAGACACACACACACACACACAGACACACACGCAGACCACAGACACACACACACACACACACACACACACACACACACCACCCCCACCCCCCACCCCCCCGCAAAAGCCTTCCAAAGGCAGACTGAGGTCTAGACCTGGGTGTTCAAATTCTCAAATCGAAGCAGTTCAGATCTCCTACGATCATAACCTAATACAATTCTGTTTCTGTGTCCTGACGCTCACCTAGCAAATAACAATAATAACTAATATGCATTGCTACGCAAGTTCTATATAATGTTAATTATTATGATGATGATCATGTTCATACTGTGTTCCAGGCATACCTTCACAGTATTTCTTTAATCCCTACACCAGTCCTATGGGCCAGGAACTATTACTGTGCCCATCTCACTAAGGAGAAAACTGAGCGTAAGACAGGGTGTCTTGGTCAGGGTAACACAGTGGTAGCGCGGGGATTTAGACCAAATCAGAGCCGGGTTTTTAACCAATACATGCTGCTTGTGTCTTTGATTGGTATTTGAGAACCCTGCATTAGGTTGGTGAGATAATGAAAGTGACACTAGTTTTTGCTAATGTTTATTGCTTCAACCTTGTTTCAGGGAGTTAAAAATTAATCTAAGGAGGGCCTTTTCTGAACTGTAAAGATAGAGCATTTAGCAGTTCTTAAAACACAGAGGATTCCCCCTCTCCTTTTTGATTATGATGTATTTGCTACATGGTAAGTATTGAGGAATATTTACATTATTAAATTAAGTTTATCCTTTGGTTCTCCTTTCTCTTGATGTCTTTTCATTTCGTTTGGTCACTTGCAGCCTCTTCTCAAGGTTAGTATTCAAAATAAAGAGGAAGTGAAATGTAAAAGAGTTTACTGATGATTAGCAGCTTGGACAAAGGCCCACTTAAGAAATAGTTCATTTAAAGTATTGGATTGGCATTAAACTTCAAATACTTGTGATACCTTCTTATTTGCTGTTTCTTACTTGTTTAGATTGTTTAGCAAATCATTAAAAGATTGGATCCATTTAGGAATTAAAGGATGGACACAGAACTTATTTAATATACAGAACTTAATAGATACTTAGCATGTACTGATGTTAAACAAACTCCGTAGTCATTTACCTCATTTGCAAAGATTGTTTTAATGAGAAAAGTGATTCACAAAAGTCACATGTTCCAACAAGTTGGTTTTGGTAGCTCTGGCCATCTTTCTCCTCTGAGTTGAAAGGCAGCATTGAGGAGGTGGAGTTTCAAGAACTGTCAGATTAGATAGGGAAAGAAGATGTTTAGCCATAGGATTGAACATGGAAGATGGGAGGTGGGGTTAGAGAACTAGGAGTCGTATTTAATGAAGTTGATGGTAGTGTCCCTCAAATAGCACTGAATTATTAGCCATATAACTTGTTACATCCTACTTACTGTGGCAGTAAGACTCAGGAATTTTAAGCCATTAAGATCAACTGATTAGTTCAGTTCAGTGTCAATATATTCTGTGTATACTATGTGTAATTGGTGCAAGGGAAACAACAATTAATTAAACAAAGTCCAGCCCCAAAAGAACTTACCACTTAGGAGGCAAAACATACACATTAATAACGCACAGGTCTGAAGGGATGCACCATAGTATCTACAGAAGCAACATTATGTGCTCATCCAGATGCAGAGCACCGAACTACAGTGATGAATAGTATAGACACTGCCCCTCCTCTTACAGAGTTTGCATTCTACAAAGACAGTAAACATTAAAATAGAACAAAGTTTGGGGTCATTGCAAAGCAGAAAGTTAGTGGGCTTGCGTGTTAGAGGAGGTGCTGAGTGACTTGATTTTAGAGAGCATTATTCGAGAACATCTTTCTGAGAAGGTGACATTTAATGTTTCATTGATACATGCAGCCCATTGCTCTAGAAAAGTGTGTGATTCCTTCACATGTAGGGTTCAGTTCTTTGAAAACCATAGTTCTGAATTTGGCCTTGGCTGGTGTGGCTCAGTGGATTGATACCTGGCCTGCAAACCAAAAGGTTGCTGGTTCGATTCCTGGAGAGGACACATACCTAGGTTGCAGACCAGGTCCCCAGCTGGGAGTGTGTGAGAGACAACTCAAATGCATCCTTGTTTTTCACCCTCTCTTTCTCTCTCCCTTCCTCTCTAAAAATAAATAAAAACCATAGTTCTGAATTTGATTGTTATATAAATTACACTGTGTTGATCAGTCATATGACTAAGTAATTGCAAACGTGACAAGAAGTGACCATGAATAAACAGCTCTTTTGCATTTAAACTATTTTGCACTACATTTTGTTGTCAGATGATAACCATTTTCCTCTGGAGATTACTTTGATCAAAGCAAAGGTGTGATTTAAACTAATAGTTTAGTGAGGGGAAGGGAAGTTTGGACTAGCAAGCAAGGGCCCTGAGCCCTGTTCTGCTGGTTGGTTTTGTGGCTGAGTTGTTTGGTCTTTGGTTCTTTTACTCGCTGAAGTAAGATGATTGAATTCAATAATAACTAGCGGTCTTTTCAATTCTAATTGTGTGTGTGTGTGTGTGTGTGTGTGTGTGTGTGTGTGTGTGTGTGTTATGGTTTATTAGCCTTTACTTTGAAGAATTTATAGATTTGGGTTTTTTTGTTCTTTTCCCCTGATGGATATTTAGCCAGCATTTATTGTACATATGAATGTATAGAGCTTTCAAAACTGGTTGCTCCCCTTTGCATAGGAAACGTTAAAATGTTAGTAATCATATATGTTTCAGATTCAATTAAAGTAAATTCAAACAGTGGCTTTTCAGAGTACATACTCTGCTGCATACAAAATTCATAGTTTAGCTCTGGCTGGTGTGGCTCGGTGGGTTGAGCACTAGCCTGAAAACTGTAAGGTTGCTCGGTCCATTCCCAGTCAGGGCACAAGACGGGATTGCCGGTCAGGTCTGGAGTTGGGGGCGTGAGAAAGGCAACCATTGATAGATGTATCTTTTGCACAGGTCGATGTCTCTTCCTCTCCCTCTCTTTCTCCCTTCCTTCCCCTCTCTTGAAAAGTAAAAAAAAATTAAAATATTTTAAAGGAAATTCACAGTTTAAAAGTTGTCTTGGCAAATACAGAAACAATATTTTTGAAAAGTCCAAACATTATTTGTGCCCTTAATTTAGAAGCTGTTTAATTAATTTCTTTCATCAGTAAAAGAGTGCTGTCCATGAATGCCATTAAAATAAAAAACTTTTTTTCATTTACAGTTAGAAAAAGAATTTCTAAATAAAACCCTCCTCATAGGTTCCAGTTCAGTCACTGTAATTAATATCAGTATTTGAAATGCAGTTTTTGTGCTCTGTGTTGGTTTTTTTTAAATGTGTTTCCTAATAAAATGGCTTATTGTAGTCCTGGTGTATTATCATTTAGGTTTACATTGTTTGAATTTTATTTTCATTTCTTAATATGTCCCAGGGAGAATGTTTTGTTTTTGCATATGAGGTAGAGTTTATTATTAATAGGCAAAAGGGTATATTTCATTTGGATCAGTATCTGCTTAAGAGCATGACTTTTGGTATAGCAAGTGGGGCTATTGCCAAGAGGCCTTCATTTCTTTTCAGCACAATTTTTTTTTTTAAGTCACTGATAATTTAACCAGGGTGTCCTTCCTTTTTACCACTAGCTATCCTTTTTATTTCTCCTCAAAATTTCATGTTTTAAACTATCTGTTATGGTAACTTACAAAGAAATCATTTCTTTTCCCATTTTTATTCTTTAAAGACTCCTGTGACTGCCAGTTAAGAATATCTGTTTTAGAACAAGATAAACATATTACTTCGCTGAGTTGATAAGTTAGAATCCAAAACAAACACTTGATGTTCTGCTGAGGTGTTAAATCATTGTTGTTCTGTATTTAGGTTCCCTTAGGTATTTTGAAATGTTAAAGATAGCTTATGGGCCCCAAGATGGAAAATTTTAGACTAGTTATTTGGTTTTGTGTTGGTGGTGATGTTTTCATTGTTCATTTTAATATTTTGTTTTAGGAAGGAAGACTTCAAGAAGTCATTGAAACCCTGCTCTCTTTGGAAAAACAGACCCGTACTGTGAGTAGATTATAGTGGAAACCTCAGTTACGATAGTTACCAATACTTTCATTTAATACGCTTCCCTTAACTTTCAATACATTTTCATTTTTACAGGCTTCTGATATGGTGTCTACATCTCGTATCTTAGTTGCAGTAGTGAAGATGTGCTATGAGGCTAAAGAATGGGATTTACTAAATGAAAATATTATGCTTTTGTCAAAAAGACGGAGTCAGTTAAAACAAGTAAGTTCATGATTGCTCAAAAACAAAAAGCATTCACATTTAAATAAGGACTTTTAGAAAAACCTGTGAACCTGTTTTAAGTCTGCTAAATCAACATAGCATTCTAGAGAGTTTTTAAATATTATATCCATATTCTTATAATTGTTTTTATTTTGTTTCTTCTTCTAGTCTGTATTTATTTGGATATTTTTATAAAATTGTAGTGAGGGTGTTCAATTTCCACATTGTTCCATAACTTCATCATGTTTATTATTTTAAGTGATATAATCCATCAAGTTGATAATCTATAATTTACTTAATCATGTGTCTTTTACTTTATTTTTTGTTTTTAATATGTTCTTTCAACTTCGTTGAGATCATCAGTATCCTGGACACATTTGCCATTCTTAAAAATCAATGTAATGTCATCCAAAGGTGACGTTCACTTTAATCCTGTTTGCCTTCACACTGTTGTCGCAAGCCTTCATTCCAGGCCACGCAGACAAAGAGGGCCCATGCCACGTGAGTGGCAACCACTGCAACAAAAGCAGCATAAACATAGCTGTCCCTGTTGGAAATCAAAGGCGCCTTCTAAAACATAAGATTTAGTGGTGAAATATAACCCAGTAGGTACAGTGATGATTAAAGTTGTGAAGAACAGGAGAGTCTTCAGGGCAGATGCTAACGAAATTTCATCTCTGACATTGGGTAGGGGTTCAGCGCCACTGTATCAAGGCACTGCGTGGCGCTGCCACCTGCAGCAGGGCCTTGCAGGGGGACTGGGCTCGGTGGTCACTTTCAGCTGGCTCAGTGAGTGACCAGAAGCTGTTCCTGAAGTGCCTGCAAGCCTCATGTGTCTTGCATTAAACACTTAATATTAAAATTACTTTTGAAGCCATTTCAGATACTCTTGTAACTAATTTTGTTTAAAGATTAAGTACATTTTCTTAAGGTATTTTTATGAAGCTAGGTTTTTCTTTATTGCTCCCTGTTCTTTTGCTTGAGATATATTTAACTGGTCCTTTGTAGAAGTAGATTCCACTTTTCATATTTCCCCCTCATTTTAAAATGTTGTTTGTTTCCTGAGTAGCTTCTGGGTTTTTAGTTTTTGCTTTCAAATGATAAAGGTAATGACACTGTAAAACAGGTTAGTAGAGTAACCAAAAACAGAAACATAGGGCTCTTGTCCAAATCTCTTATTTTTTCAGTCTGCTGCTAGAGTGAGCTTAGTGGATTAAACTAGTTACTGCAAAAAATAAAGTTAAAGTTACTAGAATTGTTTTTTGTTTTGTTTTTAGGTAAATTTACATGCATATAATATTCACTGTTAAAAATTTAATAAATTTTCCCTGGCTGGGTACCCAGTTGGTTACAGCATCATCTCAATATTTCAACGTTATGAGTTTGATCCCTGGTCAGAGCACACACAAGAATCAACCAGTGAATGCATAAATAAGTGAGACAGCAAATGATGTTTCTCTCCCTCTCAAACAATAAATACGATCTGACTGGTGTGGCTTAGTGGGTTGGGTGTCGTCCTACAGACCTAGAGGTTGCCAGTTCGATTCCCATTAGAGTCACATGCCTGGGTTTCACGCCAGGTCTCCAGATGGGGACGTGCAGGGGTGTGCAGGGGGCAATCAGTAGTTCTCTCTCACGTCGATGTTTCTGTCTTTTTCTCCCTCCTTTCCCCTCTCTTTAAAAATAAATAAAAATCTGCCCTGGCTGGTGTGGCTCAGTAGATTGAGTGCTGGCCTGAGAAGCAAAGGGTTGACTGTTCAATTCCTAGTCTAGGGCACATGCCTGGGTTGTGGGCCAGGTCCCCAGTATGGGGTGTACAAGAGGCGACCACACATTGATGTTTCTCTCCCTCTCTCCCTCCCTTCCCCTCTCTAGAAATAAATTAACAAAATCTTTAGAAAATAAAAATCTTTTTAAAAAATCAGTAAATAAAAATTTTTAAATCATTTAATAGATTTAATTGAGGCAATGTAGTACATGTCAATGTGAAATTCATTTAAATATGCTTTTGGTGCTCCATTCTGTGTTTTGAGAAACCATCACAGAGTGGTTGAGAGATCAACAGATATACCATCATCTTCCTGTGATTTTCTAAACTTCCTTTCTGTGGGACGATTTTGAAAGGGCTACTTAATTTCTAAGGCTACTTTTCCCTTAGTTTTGGGAAAACCTGGATTAAACAAAAATATGTGTTTTATATAGTATTAATACAGTTCAAAGCATGTGTCCTCAAATTCAAATTAATTTCATAGCATCATAAAATTTCAGGGCTAGTATAAGGGCAATTTAACTGTTACCTTTCTTATGGAGTAACTGAAATTTATATATATATACAGCTCTTGAAATATAAAGAAACATATAGTACAGAATATAAATCAGAAGTAATCATAGTACATCTTTAACAAGTGTCCTGAGATTGATTTTTTTTAAATTATACATGACAGTATATAGTAAGTGACCTAAGACTAGTGAAAGGTAAGCGATATGAAAGGAGGCAGAGAAAGTTTTCAATTAGGTTTATGAGGAGGTTTTCGGGAAAAAGAGGAATTTAAGACTCAGAGCTGGCAAGTGATGTAACCAGAACTGGAATCGGGGCTGCTCCTTTTTTTGTCCTTCCTTCCTTCCTTCCTTCCTTTTTATTTATTTATTTTACCTTTAGTCTGTTTTCATTTCTTCCATGAATTTCTGCTTGGCTTCAAAAAAGCTAGCAAGCAGGCCTCCTAATAGATGTTGCCAGACATGCCTCTTCCCCTTTCCTTTCGTCTAATTAGTTCACCAGTTGTCGTGGGAGAGGGGCAGTCTTACACCTGAGGGTTTCCTACCCTGTATTGATTTATTCCTGGTTATTCAGTACTTCTCAGCTATCAGGGATATAGGGCATTCTTTGATGTTCTTGTATAGACGTTTCAGTGTGTAGAGTTGCTTGGGACCACCAAATTTGACCACAGCGCTTCCATAAATAATATACTTTGTTTTCCTGTCTGAGGAATGAATTTTGCTTATGAGTGATTTTTATTATTTTAGGCTGTTGCAAAAATGGTTCAACAATGCTGTGCTTATGTTGAGGAAATCACAGACCTCCCAATCAAACTTCGATTAATTGACACTCTACGAATGGTTACAGAAGGAAAGGTGAGTTGTCTGTTGGCATAACTCATAGTGATAAATACTCTTATTTGTATTCAGAGATACTTATATATTTAGACATTTTATGTTAGTATATAAAAATAAGGTTAATTCTTAGATCTTCTTGAAAAGTCTGATTGGAATAAATAAGATTTCACTGTAATATTTAAATTATTAGAATACTCAAAATGTGAGGTTAATTTTCAAAATTTCCCTCTCTTGCCAGAGTCTGTCTGTGTTTATTTTGTATTTCTCCCCGCTGCCCCCGTCTCATGTTTCTCTAACAAGGGCAAGTACAAAATCATGATGGTGGTAGATGTTTTTTTCTGGATAGATGTTTGTGGTTTGAAGACAAAAACTCAGCTTGTATTTTTTGTCTCTTTAACTGTCAGTTCCGTTCAGTAAGTGTCACGGAGTACCTGTGTTGTGATAGATTCAAAATGTGCAAGACACTATTATTTTACCTCGCAATGATCGATCACAGAAGTAATTCCTGGGCCGTCATGACAGAGGCAGTGCGCCGCCGGCCCTTGCTGCCTGGGGGTGGGGCGGGGGGCGCCGAGGCGCCAGGGAAGCCTCGGAGAGCTGATGGTGGCCCGGCGGGCTTTTTAAGAAGGAATAGAAATTCTGCAGGGCCAGCAGGTATGGAAAAGTTATCAAAGTAAGAAACACCTAGTTTATTTACGAAACTGTAAGTAGTTTGTTAGTTTTGGAGATTAGATTTGGTGGGGTGGATGGGGAGCAGGGGTTGCTGCAGAGCAGAGGCTGAACGGGCCAGCCTGAGCGTGAAAATTAGCTTCCTGGGCCCTGTGAGCTATATAGTTAGGTTATTAATATTTAATTTGTTGAAAGTCACAAATCCACGGATACTATTTTAGGTACAAAAAGTGCTAGTAACTTTGACGCTTAGAAAGATCAGATATTTGTAAAGAAAGTAGCCTTGTATTTAAAGATAAACCAGAATTAAAGGATTGGTTGAATTGTAGCTACTGGACTGCATATGCTGTTTGCAAAAGGTGTTATTTTTCAACTACTCAGTACTTTTAAAAATATTTATTTACTTTTAGAGAGAGGGGAAGGGAGGGAGAAAGAGAGGGAGGGAAACATCAGTGTGCTGGAGACACATCTCTCCATTGCCTCTTGCACACCTCCAGCTGGGGATCCGCCCTATAACCCAGGCATGTGCCCTGCCTGGGAATTGAACCGGTGACCCTTTGGTTCGCTGGCTGGCACTCAATCCACTGGGTCACACCAGCAGCCAGGGTTCAATTTTTTTTAAGGTACTTTCCATTTTTTGTGTCAGTTATGCAGCAGGTGGTTCTGTTATTCATGAAGCACAGTGATTTCATATTTAGGTTCTCAAAGCAAAGCTGCAATATATGGGTAATGTTTTATAGGAGAATTTTCTTAAAATTTATGTGATTGTGGAATGTAAAATGTCACACAGCTCTGTTGCACATGGAGGATAAAGTATTACACAGTAACTCCGGAATAAATACTCTACACCTAGTTTGAGTAAGAGTTCAGTTCTATCTTTTAAATTTTAATACATTTCTCTAGGAATTTTGATAATAATAAATTTATCGTAATTGTAGATTTATGTTGAAATTGAGCGTGCTCGACTAACTAAGACGTTAGCAACTATCAAAGAGCAAAATGGTGACGTCAAAGAGGCAGCCTCCATTTTACAAGAGTTACAGGTAAGGTGTTACATTTTAGAGTATGTGAAACTTTGTATTTAGTCAATAATATTTTCTTGTGGAAATAGCTTATTTTGGCACCTTATTACTTTTTTCTTAACCAAGATTAAGAGTGAGTGCAGTAGAGTGTGAGGTTATTCAATTAGCTGGCAGTAGAGTAATTGTGGTCCCAAATAAATTAAACTGCTAAAGAAGTTTGGAAGAAAAATTAGGATCAATAAGTTAATCTTGATTTTGTGCTCTTATTTGAACATTTTAATTCTCCGCAGAATTTAAGTAAAATCAGTAATTCACATAGTATTTACTTATGCCTTAGGAATTTAAAATTAATTATTGGCTTTGTTCTTAATGAATGTTTTGATTGGTAGTCAATTTCTAGGCTAAATTGGTTTAACAAAAAATTGCCTCATAATTTTCCATGTTTCAGGACTTTTTGAGAGACTTTAAAATGAGACTTAGCAAAGAGCTAAAGAAGTGAATTTAAAGGAATGAATTATTGACGTACATAACATGAATGAGCCTTATTCTTCAAAGCTTTATGCTGAGTAAACAAAAATGGTCTCACAGTGTTGCATACTATACTTAACATTCCTGAAAAGACAAATCTGTAGCGATGGAAAACAGATCATTAGTTGTCAAGGGTTATGATGGGGGAAGCATGTGACTATAAAGGAGTAGCAATGAGAGAGTTTTGAGGGGATGATAGAATTTCTTTTTTTTTTTTCAAGATTTTATTTATTCATCTTTAGAGAGAGGGGAAGGGAGGGAGAAAGAGAAGGAGAAAAACATTGATGCACAAGAGATACAGTTACCTCTCACATGCCCCCAACTGGGGCCTGGTCCACAACCCAGACATGTGCCCTGAGTGGGAATCAAATTGGCCACCTTTTGGTTCTCAGGCTGGTGCTCAATCCACTAAGCCACACCAGCCAGGGCATGAATTGAATTGTTCTATATCTTGACTGTAATGGTGGTTACACAAATTTATAAATGTGTCAAAATTTATAGAAATTCACTCCAAAAAAACCCCAGACATTTATTTTATCAATACTATATAATTTCCTGGAGGAAACTAGCTTTTTAAAAAATTGATCACAGAGCCAGAGAGAAACGGATGAAGTAAGGGGCTGAGGGGGAGGAAGAGAGAGAGAAACACCGATTTGTTCTTGTTTGTACATTCATTAGTTGCTTCTTGTACATGCCCTGACCAGAGATCAACCCCACAACCTTTGGGTGTTGGGGATGATGCTCTAACCAACTAAGTAACCCAGCCAGGGCAAGGTAGCTTTTTATATCATCGTCAACACTCCCAGAATGCGTGAAAGTTGTCATTATTTATTAGGGGTACCTATTTAAATATGTATTTACTTTCATTGCAGTTTTAAGTATTATAAATTAATTTGGGGGCTTAATCTGCTAGGTGGAAACCTATGGGTCAATGGAAAAAAAAGAACGAGTGGAGTTTATTTTGGAGCAAATGAGACTCTGCCTAGCTGTGAAGGATTACATCCGTACACAGATCATCAGCAAGAAAATTAACACCAAATTTTTCCAAGAAGAAAACACAGAGGTACAGCACACACATCTCTTACTATAATTTTATTTAAAAGTGTTTGCGGGGAGAACCCATAAACCCCAATTTATTTTGTCAACTTCTTTTTTTCCCCAGAAATTAAAGTTGAAATACTATAACTTAATGATTCAGCTGGATCAACATGAAGGCTCCTATTTGTCTATTTGTAAGCACTACAGAGCAATATATGATACTCCTTGTATACAGGCAGAGAGTGAAAAGTGGCAACAGGTAAGAATACATTCTTTTACTTTACATTAATACTTATGGACAATTTGCAATTTTAAATTTATTTTTAAATAATTTTAACTTCAGTAATTATATGCAATTTTATAATGCTGCTTTGCATTCATCATGTTGATGATTCATTTTATCCTGACTGAGACAAATTGTGGTAATACTCTTACTATCAAAATGTCGGCTTACTATCAAAAATACGTATAGCTGGTCACCAACTAACAAAGATAAAGACTGACCATTCCTTTGGAAAATTATTTTTATAAAAACTTTTAAATAGCTTATATGTGTATTGCATATTTATGTTGCTAACTTGTTATAAGAACTATTTTTATACATTTGTGTAAAAAAAAAAGCCCAAATAGTAATTCAAATTAGCAAACATTTACTGTAATAATTTTATGAAAACTAAATATTACAGAAAGATACTAGGAAAAGAGCAGCGTGAGACATTTTTTCTCCTAAGGCTTTTGTATGCAGTATTAAAAATGAACTTAGATAACTACTCTGTGATTTTTCAGTTCCTGCCAAAGTTTCCATTTTTGTTTCTGATCTTGCATATAACCTATTGTATCATACAACTTTTTTAGGCTTTGAAAAGTGTTGTCCTGTATGTTATCTTGGCTCCTTTTGATAACGAACAGTCAGATTTGGTTCACCGAATAAGTGGTGACAAGAAATTAGAAGAAATTCCTAAATATAAGTAAGTACTTTTATAATTAATTTAGTAGACATCAATAGAAGCACTGTTTTCAAAGAAAATTGGTTAACCTAAGTGAACGCTTCTTAATTGGTTGCTGATAGATTGTATTAGAGAATAAAATAGCGGTAATAGTGAAATTTTATTTATAGTAGTACATTAGAAGCTAATGAGATTATTACACACTTCATTCTAAACCACTTATCAAGTACAAGTTTTATTTCAAGCTAATCTTAACTTTTGTTTAATGAACCATTTGGTGAAGTTTTTATCAGTAGTTAGGCGCCTTGTGATTTTTAAAACTTCATAGTCATTAGTTCATAGATTGGCAAATATAGGGAAGAGCAGAATGTTAAGTATGGGAATGCTGTATTCAGAATTACTGTGGGGAAAAATGGTAGTAAAATTGGTAATAGTAATAATAATCCACTTGACTCTCATTCTGCAAATAAAAATTTATTAAAAATGCAGTCTTCATTGATATTTAAAACCTTGCTATTAGATGAATGTTATTTTACAGATTTGGAATATTACGTTTTATACCGTTTATAGGGATCTTTTGAAACTTTTTACCACAATGGAGCTGATGCGTTGGTCTACACTTGTTGAAGACTATGGAATGGAATTAAGAAAAGGTTCTCTCGAGAGCCCTGCAACTGATGTTTTTGGTTATACAGAAGAAGGTGAAAAAAGGTGGAAAGACTTGAAGAACAGAGTTGTTGAACATGTAAGAATCTGTCATGGTAGAGGTGGTAATTTAGAAGTAAAGTTTGGCAAATTTGAGCATAAACTTTTATGTTTGATAATCAGTTATATTAACATGCTTCATTTTGAGACGACTTTGCAATAATACAAAATTTTATAACACATACACCAGAAGGAATTTTTTTTTAAGATTTTATTTATTTATTTTCAGAAAGAGTACGGGGGAGAGAGAAAGAGAAAGAGAGGAACATCAGTTTCTCATGCACACAACCAGGGGCCTGGTCCAGAACCCAGACATGTGCCCTGACTGGGAACTGAACCAGGACCCTTTTGTTTGCAGACTGGCGCTCAGTCCACTGAGCCACACAGCCAGGGCCAGAAGGAATTTTTTAATGGGAGGGATAACAGGAGTGGGGAGAGTGTTTTCTATCTGATACTCACATGGTAATTTTAGATTGGGTAACATATCTTAAACCTGACCTTTGACCTTCTTGGTATCACTACAAATTGAACTATGTCAACATTCATTCATATAGCAAACACTTTTTTTCTTTAAGCCTCACATGGGGATATGTTTATTGGTTTGAGAGAGAGAAAGAGAAACAGAAACATTGATAAGAAAGAGAAACATAGATGGTGTGCCTCCCACATGGGCACTCCAACCAGGGATTAAAGCTATAACCTAAGTATGTGCCCTGATTGGGAATCAAACCTACAACCTTTTGATATACCAAAAACTCTTCGACCAACTGAGCCACCTGGCCAGGGCACAGACACATTTACTGTGAGCCTTCCATGTGCCAGACAGACACTACAAAGTGCTGGGACACATGGGAGAATAAGACATGATCCCTACCTTCAATTGTCTTTATGTACCACGGTTGTGGGTTTGATCTTTGGTCAGGGCACATGCAAGAGTCAGCCACTGAATGCATGGATATGAGGGACAGTAAACTAATGTGTCTCTCCTGCTCTCTCGTTCTTTACCACCCCTCTTCCTCCCCGTCTTTCTCTCTAAAAATGAATTTAAAAAAATAGTAAAGGTGAGTCTCTCTAACTTTGATACCATTTCCAGTGAAAATTAGGGGATTTAATTTCTAGTTACATTTAAGTGGCTAAAATGATGATAAAGTCATGTTTTTAGATCTCAATTTTTTATATTTTTAACCTTTTAGCCTTGGCTGGTATGGCTTAATGGATTGTCAGCTTATGAACTAAAGGGTCACCAGTTCGATTCCCAGTCAGGGCACATGCCTGGGTTGTGGGCCAGGTTCCCAGCAGGGGTCTGTGAGAGGCAACCACACATTGATGTATCTCTCCCTCTCTTTAAAGAATAAATAGATCTTTAAAATAAAATAAAAATTTTAACCTTTTAAACATTTGTCATAATTAGAAAAGCTTAACTTTAGTTTCTTGTGTTTAGCAAAAATATTTTAGTTCAGTTACAATTTTTAATCACTTATTTAAGATAAGCCTATATTTTGACTATATATTTTAAATAAAGAGTCGTGGGGAGTACTCAGAATAATCTCCAAATAACTCTAGAAATCAAAATATCTAAATATTTAGTTTTGTTAGTGAAGTTTACAACAAGCATCGTTCCATTGGTGAGCTATGGAAAAAATAAAAGCTCTGAGTCTGACATTTCAATGAAACCCAAATATTTGGATATGAAAACAAATGGACTCCTAGCCTTGCTGACAGCTGTTATGTGTCCTTTTTGCCTGCTGTCCTCCCTCCAGAATATTAGAATAATGGCCAAGTATTATACAAGGATAACAATGAAGAGGATGGCACAACTTCTGGATCTGTCTGTTGATGTAAGTAGTAAACCTCCTTGTTAGAGTTATTTGTGGACATTTATTTTGATTATCATTCGACTTATAAAAATAGTGAGAAAATCAGTTTTGTTTTAATTTTAAGTTTAGGTAATAGTTTCCCCGAGCTACCTTATGTACCAAAAAAGCGTGTAAATATCAACTTACTTTAATATTCTTTATATTAGTTAAAATCTTCACTTAAATATGTTAGTTTTTCAATGAATAATTTGAAGCCCAAGGTATATATTTTATAATAAATGTTTATTATATTTTAAATATGTTCCCAAAAGTGAACTGTAGAGATAAAAGATACGAGGGAAACTTGACTGCAGTTCACCTAAGAGGGTTCCAGGATGTGTCAGAGAGGTTTTGTACTCAAATTTGAGTTTCATGGTGATAAAATGTACAGCACCAAAGAGATAGGAGATAATGAGATGTATAGCAATGATTTGAAAAGCCATTTCTGTTACCGCAGGCAGCCAGGACAATTTAGTTAAAAAAGAAGCAGCATGGAATGTTAGAATTCTTGATCCTTGGTTAGTTCTTTAGCTCCTCTCTTTTCTGGATGAGAGTACTAGAGTCCTTCGAAGCGGAGTGCCTTGTCAATGGCTACGTATTTGCCAAGTAGCGGGGCATATATTCTAAACCAGCATTTCTGGAAACAAGTTGATTTTATAATACTGCTTTTTAGGAGGAAGTATTGTAGAAGAAAGTAGATCAGGTTGCTGCTGGTAACAGGCCCTTTCCCAGGACCAGCAGTATTAAGATTGTAGGGAGGCAGATTTAAACTTGGCCCTAACTCTAAGTGGACTCAGATGCTACTCATTCCCTAGCCTCTCAGTAAAATAAGTATATTATTACAGGAAATCAGTAGTTGCTAACTACTAATAATTAATTTTAGCCCTGCATATTCTGGAATGAAGGGTTTAGAAAATGCCTGCCTTAAATTCTGTTTATGAGCTATAATTATTGGGCCTTAATCCAATTTGTCTTTCTCTGTTACAGGAGTCAGAGGCTTTTCTCTCAAATCTCGTAGTAAACAAGACCATCTTTGCTAAAGTAGACAGGTTGGCCGGAATTATCAACTTCCAGAGACCCAAGGATCCGAATAACTTATTAAATGACTGGTCTCAGAAACTGAACTCATTGATGTCTCTAGTTAACAAAACTACACACCTCATAGCCAAAGAGGAGATGATACATAATCTACAATAAGGGTCTCGATGCCCTTAATACTTTTAGAAAAGAGTTAAAATTGGAAATCATTAAAAAAAAAAAAAAAAAGACTGTTATGGTGTATATGTTGGGTTATTTTCTTTTGTATTCTCAGCTTCTTTGTCTAAAATTTAAAATATAGTGAATATGTATGAGGCCCCATGCGCCCTTCCAACTCCCCGATTTCATTGTTAACTTTTCATTTGCAGTTAGTACAAAAATACACATTTACACTGTCCAAGTGCTCAAAAAATTGTGTCATGACTTACCCAAATGTTTTTCTATCATTGGAAACCTTTTTAGTTATTATTTGTTTTCATTCAACTAACAACCATAATTATAATAAAAGCAGTATATGCATGTTTATTTTCTATGGTTACCTGTGTTTCTGAACATTTTACGGGGTAGTGATTTAAGTGCTTTTAAAAAAATTTTTTAAAGTGTTTTTTAAATAAATTTTGTTGTAAATCTATGAATTATTTAGTAGAATTTTAAAAGGAACATAGAGCATATAAGAACATTTGGGATAGAGTTGTGATTTTTGAAGAGTTTATATTTTAGTATGGTGGCAGAAAGTCTCTCGATTGAGTATGTATGGAGGAGCTATATGGTAGACTATAGACTTTTTTCCTCTTTTTTTCTATTTCTTTTTTTTTTTAATTTTTGAGTCAAACTGGTTTTAATCACTGTAGCTTATTTTTACCCCCTTCCCTTGGCTTGACCAGTTGCCGACAAAATCAAGTGATGTTGTGTTGGCACAATTTAACATCACACAGCCATTTTTATGAGACTGTGGCTTTAACTTACAGGTCTGGTTACATCATTAATGCTCCAAATTCATTAGATCCTTTTGAACACTGGATAACAACCTAAAATGCTTTAAAAATGACCCCCCAAAAGACTTCAGGCCACTCACTTAGCAAATGGTATAATAGTATTAACATTTTTTTTTTTTTCAGAATTAAACAAAAGTAGTTTTACCATCAAAAGGAACATCTGAGATTAATTAACGAGCAAATTTGGAAGTTTTTAAAATTTAATTTATTTCAGAGAAAATAGAAAAATGAAACAATGCTAGGTTATTCAAAATGATGTTTAAATGAATAAAGTATGAGGTCTACTTTTTCAAAAATACAAATGTAGAGAGAGGAAAAACATTTCTCATAATACATTTTCTGTGTAATGGTCACTAAATTGTCCTATTTCATGATCCCATGGCTGGGGATGATTCTGGGGCCTCTACTATTTATGCTGAGTCATTGTGAATAATAATATATTAATCTAATTTTATTCTTAGAAATTAATGTATTGGTCACATTAATAACATCAACATCTGCTATCACTTATCTTTCAAAACTAACCAAAAATACGGCAAGCTGAGAAACATTAGTTCACCCTAGCAGTAAGAATATGGTTTTAATTTTCTTTTCAATGAAAAGGATAGAAAATACAATTTTTTTTGCATTGTTAATTTGTAAATTGAGTTGGAGCTCATTTGAATTTTAACTTCTCATTAACTTCATCTTTCTGGGGACTCATTCCCTTGTATCTGCCAAACCTGGACTGTTTGGCCAAATGTGTTGCTGCAAAGACCTTAGATGCCCCTCATTGGTTTTTATTAACATGCTTACACTCAACTAAGCTTTTGGTGTGTTCCGATTTGCTCCATTTGTAACTGTCCCAGTGACCGAATCCCAAGCAAATTTAACAGTACTGCTAACTTCTTAGTGTTACACAAAAGAATCCATGAGCCTAAGACGGTAAAATATTTGAGATTTTTTTTTTAACCTAAAATCCCGTCTATCATTTCAGACCTAAAGCCAGCATTCAGGAAAAGGACAGAATCCCTTTACTGTAAATATGGAGACAATAATACTTGATTCATTATCATTTTCATTAGGTTACTAACCAGCAGGAGAGGTAATGAGCCTCTGATTTTTGTTTTTTTTTAAATGCCTTTTTCCTTCTATTTCTATATAACTTATGTTTTTGAGTTCAATAGCTATTTCTGAAATTATCCTCAATTTCCATGTGCTTATTACTGAATCATTGGAAAACTTTTAAGTTCATGTTGTTTCATTCTCTCTCCCAAGTATGAAATATATGATAAAAGTACCTGTATTGTTTGCAATTCCTGGACATAGCTGCAATAAAAGCACTGATTGTGGGTATTTAAAAAAAAACACTTGGAGAATAAACTCATACTTTAAAAGATTACTTCTCTTTTTAATTCTCTTACTGTTTAAAACACAAAAAGCCATAGATAATTTTAATTTTTCTTTCAAAATCATGCTCTCTCTCTAAACCTGTTTTGCACGTTAGTTTCAAACCTTAGCTGGTTGGCTTTCCCCCCTGAGTTCTTTCTAATTTAGGATTGGTGACAGGCCATGCGTGCGTGTGCTCTTGACCAGTGGTTTTCCAGATCATGGCACAGCAGGATCACCTGCAGGGCTTGTTGCAACTCAGGCTGACCCCACCCCAGAATTTCTCATCCAGTAGATCTGGGGTGGGGCCTAAGGATTTTTGTTTCTAACAAGCTCTCGGGTGTTGCAGATGCGGCTGGTTCCATGAACTACACTTTGAGAATCACTCCTCTTGACGTCGTAAATGCTAGAAAAGAACTATGCTGGCTTTGCAAAATATTTTTCTGAGAAAAAATAACCGAGTGAACATGAGCATTGTGGTGCAGTGTGATACTTATCCAGTGCCTTTGTTATATCTTCAGAGATGCAGAGAAATGCTCTTGCTTTTTCTGTGACTATAAAACAATGTCCTTTACTTGGAGCTAAATATTTACTATGTTGAAAGAATGGAATGACATCTCTTGAAGTTTACAGAAGTTTCATCATCATGCTGTTTTTTTTCTCTGTAAGATTAGGAGCCATGTTTACCTTTCCCAGCCCCAAATAACTTCATTCTGTCTCTAAATTTGCCTACTCTAGTTATTCACGACGGGAATCATACAGTATTTGTCCTTTTGTGTCTGGCTTATTTCACTTAGCATAACGTTTTCAAGGTTCATCCATGTTGTAGCATGTATCAGAACATTTCTTTGTATGGCTGAATAGCATTCCATTATCTGGATATACCACATTTTGTTTACCTGTTGATGGTTACTTGGGTTGTTTCCACCTTTTGGCCATGGTAACTAGTGCTGCTATGAACATGGGTGTACCAGGCGTGTTTTCAATTCTTTTAGTTATATCTTCGTATCAGGTTTAAAAGAATAGATTCAGCCCAGGCGGGTGTGGCTCAGTGGATTAAGCGCCAGCCTGTGAACCAAAGGGTCGCCAGTTTGATTCCCAGTCAGGGTACATGCTTGGGTTGTGGGCCAGGTCGCCAGTAGTGGGGTGTGTGAGAGGCAACCACACATTGGTGTTTCCCTTCCTCTCTAAAAATCAATAAAATATTTCAAAAATAAAAATATATATTCAGAAAAAATTAAAAAGATTGTGCAGAGATGGTCTTTGTACCTTTCACTCAGTTTACACATTGACCTTTAAAACTGAGAGGATGTTTTATGTACAAAGGAATGATGTGGTAGACCAGAGAGGGACCAATTCCTGGCAAAGCAGTTAATATTTTAAATCTGATCCCTGTGGCCATAATAAAAATTCCAGAAGAACTCCTGTTGTACCTACTGTAGTGAAGGGGACCCACAGTCAGTAGACTAGAATCCACTTGTGGCCAGTTATCAGACCAAGTTTCAGCCACACTGAGCGTGTTACCATGCGTGTCAATCCCAGTGGAGCGAGTGACAGTGAAGAAGGTGTTCTATCTTCATTGCAGGTAGTCTTGTATCTGAAACTCGTTAAGGGCTTTGTAAGGTTTTAGAGCCAAAAAATCTACAATTGGCTTTACTGGGACAAATGAAGATTATTAGTGTGAATCATCAAAGTAGCTGTATAGATACTATTTACACATCCACAAAAAGACATCTGGTCCAAGTTTTCAAAACTTTATTTTTAGGCTGTAGAAATAATGTTCTCCACAGGGGCAGCTTTATCTCTAAGGAAGAAGGTAGGTGTCACAAGTACACCTTTTAATTTTCCTGTATTGCTGTACATACAGCCTTATTATGTTACGAGTACCAACTATGCAGTAAACATCATCAAGTTTTAATATTCCTAAATGTAGTACCCTGTTTATATCTTAACTTGAAGTTTTGGCATTCTCCTTAAATTGTGAAAGAAAACTCTGGTTTCACAATGCCTTTTTAAAAAATGTTTAAATGTCACTTGAAAGTGTAGCAAGTAAAAAGCTTAAAGTAATATGATGCAAACTAATTTTACTTGACCAAGATTTTAGTATTATTTTCATTTAAAGTTTTTGAGTATTCAAAGAATTAGATAACTTTAAAAGAGCTAACTAACCTTCTGGAAAAAGCAAAGAAAATGTCAGGATGGAATAAGACGTTTCTTAAAATGCATATCATGTCTGCTACTGCTGAACACACAACATAATGCCTCACTACGGAATACTAAACAGCTGGTTTCCTGATGCCTTCACATTGATTTTTATTGTGCGAAGAATGCAGGGCAGATATTTTATTCAAAGTGTTTCTCCTTAATGGAAATGCTATAGAAGACCACATTTCCCTCACCTTTTAGAATGCAAATCTCGAAAGAAGGATAATGTGATTTTCTTCTGCTGTCAGTACTTAGGGATCACGGTCAGAGTTTGGAAATAAATTCTTCCTCTAAGACTGAGATAATATCAACATATTCTGGACCAGAGGGGATAAGCAAATATATAATGGCTCTGTGGCTGGCAAAACCTGACTCCAAGAAGGTAACTTTTGAGAGGACAACTTTTATAGCTTGTGGACAACTAAATGCCCAACATCTGGAATGGTGCCTGGAACATAGTTAACATGTACGGACTTTGAAGAATGATCAGATAACTTTAACTTGAGTATCTTTGAGATAAATGACTGAAGAAAGAATATGTCAGTCCAGGAATTAGCCTCGAAAAATGAACAAGTGAGAATAACGAAAGGATACATTGCTGGAGAGAGGTCCTTAGCGAACCAAATCCAAGTGTTTGGGACTTTTTGGTGAGGCCACCCTAGCCATGAACATGGATGCAGGAGTTATAGCCAAAACCCCCTGATCCCCTGGTTAGAAACACATTTCTTATGAAATTGAAGCAGCATATAAAAATAGCCTAAAATCATATAATGAGCTCACCTTGATTTGACCCCGTAGCTCAATAAGCAAACTTATGATGATTTCACTTACATTAAGTCCATTATAACTACCAAGTATCACTTGATGCTTACCAAGTATTATTTTCAAAACGGTAAAATTGAATATAAAATAGTTGAGTCATGTGGAAAAGTTTGGTGGATCCTCAAAAACAGATTGGTAGTTGCCAGGGACTAGGGAGAGGTGGGAATGCAAGTAGCTAATAGATAAAAGATTTTATTTTGGGGTGATAAAAGTGTTTTGGGACTAGAAAGATGTGGTGGTGCTACAATATTGTGAATGCGCCAAATTCCACTGAATTTTTCACTAAAATAGTTAATTTTTAAAAGATTTTATTTTATTTATTTTTTTGGTGAAAAGGAAAGGAACTATTTATTCAAAAGTTTTACAGGTTTGATTAATGGCTAAATGTCACCCTTAAACCTCAAAATCCCTTCAAAACAATCACCAGCACACACCCCCTCCTGCCTTCCCCTCTTTGCCCAGTTAGGCCAGTCAGGCCAGTCAGGGTATCGTCCTTCAGAAGAAAAAGAACAGAAGTCCGGGGCTCGGCTAGGCAGGCCTCTCGCGGGTCTCAGCACCATCCGCTGTGTCGCCGCGATCTCCAGCTCTTAATCCATAACCATGTGGCACCTTCTCATGGCCCACCAGCAAGAGTCCTTTCTCCCCTCTTTCTTCCCACGTGGTCTTCACACTGTTCCCCAGAGTCTGTGTCCCTTTGACTCTCCTGCAGGCCCCTATCTCTCCTCTCTTAAAAGATTTTATTTATTTTTGGAGTGAGGGGAAGGAGACAGAAAGGGAGAGAAACATCATTGTGTGAGAGAGAAACAGTTGCCTCTCATACTCCTCCAACTGGCAACCTGGCCCGAAACCCTTGTTTCTGCATGTGCCCCGACCAGGAATCGAATCAGCGACCTTTGGGTTTGCAGGCCAGTGCTCAATCCACTGAGCTACACTAGCCAGGGCTAAATGGTTAATTTTATGTTATGTGAATTTCACCTTTTTAAAAAAAATTCCTTATTTTTCAATGACAGTTGATTACCTTAAAAGAATAAAATTGCTAGTTAGATATAAAATCGATTAATGTCCAACAAGACCATGCACTGTAATGTCTTGAGGTCATCTGTTTTGCCAGACAGGCATTATTTGCATGTCTACTGAACAAAAATCTATAAATTAATCTTGGCTCCTACAGAATTCTAAAATAGCCCAAACAATGGAAAGTCAAGCTCAGTGCTGCACTAAAAGAAAACCCAATAATCTCATTTATCTATTTCCAAATTTTAAATACTTTTTCTGACATTGTACATGACTGTCAACTGGGAGAGGAAGGGTTGATTGTGTGGATTCTTAAATGACAGTTAAATTTCTCATTAGTGATGAGTAAATGCTCATTCTGGTTTTATATGTGGATAACATACGTCCATCTCTCTGAAAAACAGATCTGCTCTTTGAGCTGAAAACACTGGCTTTCTGTTCCTGTGGGGCCAGAGGTCAGACTTGGCCTGGAGAAAATTCACTGAGGTAACAAATGTGATCCAGTGAAGTCTTCCTTTTCTCTTTATTTATTTTTGTTAAAGTCTTTCTTTTTAAGGATTTTATTTATTTATTTTTAGAGAGGGGAAAGGAGGGAGAAAGAGGGAGAAAAGCATCGATGTGCAAGAGAAATATTGATCAGTTACCTCTCCCAAGCCCCCAGCCAGGGACCTGGCCTGCAACCCAGGAATGTGCCCTGACCAGGAATCAAACCAGTGACCTTTCAGTTTGCTGGACAATGGCCAACCCACTGAGCCACACCAGTCAGGGCTAAAGTCTTTCTTGACAGACCATATTTTGTCTTCTCCCCAAAGAGAAGCAAGTCCTTGACTTACGTTGAACTTCAACAATTTCATTTTTGGATTGAACCATTTTTCCCCCCAGATCTTGAAGTTAAATGTTTAATCATGTATATACTTCTCTGTTTTTTATTTTTAATTCAT